GGTTTACATCTTTTTGCCTTGCTTCTTCATTAAGCATACTGTCCTTTACCATCTCTAATGTCACTTTATAATCAAGAGCTGAATTAAGAACAGTCACAATTAGAGTATTCCAACTGTTTGACAATGAACCCAAAAAAAATAACGCCTTCATTTCATCATCCATCTTAAGCTCTATAGTAGTCATCCGATTAAATATATCTTGAAAATCACTCAAGTGCTCTGTAACAGATCGTCCATCCCTGTACTGTAAAGTTACAAGCTTTTTAACAAGCATAACTTTATTCATACCTATTTTTCTCTCATATAATGCTATCAATTTTTCTCAAATAATGTAAGCATCTGACTCCTGTGCTACATGATGGAACACGCTGATATCAACCCATTTTTTTTATTGTAGCCAGTGTTTTTCTACCTAGCCTATTTCAGCTTTCATCTTTCATATCTACTGGTTTAGCCGAATCACCTAATACTGGCTCATACAAATCTTTGCAGTATAGATGATCTTCCATCATAGGCTTCCAAATTGAATAATTCAATGCTGTCAATTTTATCATGAAACCTGTATCACCCTTTATGATCTTAAACAAAATTTACTTATATCCTGGGTTGCTTCTGTATCGATGTCTTAAAATAACCCTAGCTTTGATACCACTTGTTGCGCCTGAAGCAATAATCATAACAATACAGAAACAATAGACAACAATCAATAATAAAAAAATATAGAAAAAATAAAGCACACCAAGATTTACGTGAAAAACCCTTCAGTGTAGAGGAAAAAATCACGGATCACCAAAAAAATCTTCACTATCAAATAATAGGTATACAAAGTTCTTCTCTAGCTAAAACTAGAGCTAAACAACAACTAGAAAATAATTGGAGAAATCTCACCAAATAAGTGACTCAACAAATACACCCTGGATTTGTTCCTAGAGAGCTTCAAACCCGATCTTCACTATTCAAAATATAGAACTCTGAATCATAAACCTCCTGACAAGGTTCCAACTCAATCGGACCACAAATCGACTTTCGTTCAACTAACTCTCCCTTCTCCTTTTTCTCTATGCTTTTTCTGACTTTTCTTCTTTTTCTACTTGGTTTTCGACACTCCCTTAAAACAACCCCACCTTTTTTTTATTAAGTAGCTAGGGCTCTGTGTAAAATGAAAGATCAAGGCCTATGGCCTTTACTTGGTCCAAAACCACTTAAATGGGGCTGAACCCCATTTTCCTAACAAAACACTCATCGACAATCACGTCCAGAAGAGTCATAGATCAGATTTGATGAAATTTGTAATGGAAACTCAAATATTCATAATTTGAGTTAGAAAATCAAAGGTTCAGATTCACAAGTACCCTTCAGCTTCACAAGAATTTTATATTTTTAACTTATTCTTGATCCATACTAAACATATAATCTTTATATAGTCAAATGATGATAATTTTTTGAACTTATTATAAATATATTTAACTGTATAATTCATTACATGATATTAGAAGTCAAAATTCTCATCAAATTTTAATTTTTTTAGAAGTTTATTAAGTTTAATTAAGAACTTAACTAATTTAAGTGCTTTTATAATCTTTTCTTGAAGAAGATTATTCCATGCACATCCTTTTGTCTAATTCATCATTTTATAAACATGTGAATTTCATTTCCTTTGGTGAATTAACATCAATGCTATAAATTTTTTTGTAATAATTAATTTTTTTTATGGTGTAAATATATCAAGATAATCATTTTATATTTGTGTAAATTCTCTAAACAATACTTGGCTTCAGTGTTTGTCCAGAATTATATCAAATTTTATTTTCTATTAAGTTTCTTTTGTAATTTATTGGTTTGCAACAAAAAAATTAAGCTGTTAACACACACACACATATATATATTATTAACCATAACTGTAAAACAATTAATCATTTATAATTTCTTTTGAGAATGCTATTCCTTGAATTTCATTTGTTTCCACAAAGCATTAAAATAGGATTTCATAACAAACCTTGTTATATAGGTTTATATGCAACTTGTTCTTAAAACAAGTATCATTAAGAACTATGAGTCATGTGATTCTTATTATTTTAATAAAAAACTTAAAACATAATTTTACTTTTTTAACTCTATATTTTAAAATGTATTAGGTATTTATATTCTTCGATTTAGAAGAATTCTGTTTCTAGTTCATATGAATTTTTTTTTTTAGTAACTTGATGAATTACCTTGAATATATATTCTTTCAATATGACATGAATCTACATACTTTATTGTATGTAATTATGCATAACCAATGTACTTAATTCATCTTTAATTTCCTGGTTTTGAAAACTTTTACAATTGCTTCATGTTCCCAAACCTTTAGATAATTTAGATTTGGTTTTATTTCTTTCATAATTCATGAGAATAACCTTTTTTTTGTCTAAAATTTTATTTTAATCATGATATAATATCATTAATATTTTTACCTTATGATCTTATCTTGTTTAAGGAGAGTGAATCATTTGGGTTAATTCTCAGATTTAGAAAATAGAAATGTTTATATGCTTGACTACTATGTTTTTCGATGGTATCTTTCTGTGAGAGCTTAGTCATGTGCAAACCAATCAAAACATTGTTGCTAAGCTTAAATTTAGATTTGATAATTTTAAATACGAAATAAAAATAATATGAAAAAAATATAAAAGCTAAATAATTTAAAATTTTAGTAAAAATTATATATGGATTTGATAAAAAAAAAAACCTTTTCTATTGGGCGCTATACAAATTTGATGCTACAATTTTTTATGTTTTACATATGTTTGACTTGATAAAAATATGATATAGATATACTCTATTTAAATTCATTGGTTTTGTTTTCATTATCTTTTATATTTTACAAAAATAAATAAGTTGATGAAAACAAAATTTTCATGTAGTTAATGAATTTGTTAGAATTATCAACTTTATTGATTGTAATTACAATTAAAAATTTATCACAATGAAATAATTTCATATATCACATATTACACACATACATTTATGAAAAAAAGAAATTAATTAAATAAATCAACATAAAATTAAATTAAATTCACCTGAAATAAGACTTAAATTTGAAACTTAATGATTTTAAAAACTCATTCTTAAGTCCATTTAGATGAATGATAAGATTGGCTTCGATGAGTTTAAAAATAGTGGTGGAGATAAGATTTGTTACTATAATAGTAAAATTGATTATTATAATAATAAGATTAAAGTTAGTAATAGAATATATATTTAAATGCAAACACAGCGATAGTAATGAATATGATGATGACATCTCATTAATGAAGAGAATCAAATGATATCACTTCATTAACGAGTAAAATTTTTTTTAAATATTAATTTTTGTATATTTATTTTAAGAATTAATATTTATGCATTAATGAGATGATATCATTTGAATTATTAATATTATATAAAATTTATACGTTAATAATACATTAAATATAAACTATTTTGTTTTATTGTGCACCTTCCTCTTCACTTCCTTTGGCCAATATAAAATGCCATACGGAAAGCCTTCTCAGCTCCAAAAGACATCTTTTGCTGAGAAAAATACATGCATGATTGTGACAAGAAACCAACTTTAATTTAATTTAACTTAATTATTATTTGATCCTATAATTTTTATTGAGAAAAAACATAATCATATGATTATATCTACTAGTAATTGTCTGATATGTTTTTCTGTGTAGGTTGTGGTATAATTACCAGTTAAATTGATTAGCAAACTAAATATTTTTAATGGAATAAACTAGTGGAAAATTGCAAATACTAGTAATTCCCACATCAAATGCTCCCAAGACTTATTGATATTATTTATAAAAATGAAATTTATTATTATTTTAATGGATTGTACACCGTTTTAATATCTGTAGAACGCACATTTGACAAAAAATAAAAATCTTATATAGAATACAACCCAACCGCTTAATGGAACACACAATTGCTATCTAAAAGGGTGAATATGTCAATGAAGCTTTAGGAATTAATTATCAAGAAAAATGGAGGAAAAGAAGAAAGAACATGTCAAAAAGGTTTTTTTTTTTTTAAGTTGAATATATTGAATTTATTCACAATTTAAACTTATAAACAACAATTCCGCCTATGCAATGTAAAATACTGGTAACTCCAAAAATATACTAACATTTTATTGATATTATAAAAAATTTAATGAAATTTCTTCTTTTTTTTTTATGTTATTGAAAATTTTTGGCTTTATAGTAAACAGCAAAGAAATTTCAAGAGTCTTATAAATCTTGGAGCTACATGGCCTTTTCTCATAAGTTGTTTTTTCCCCTGTAAAAGTCCTTTGCCTAACAAGCATATGCTGTGCGTCCAATTTTTGCTTTTGTCAAGGATAGACAGCTCCCAGCTCCAATCAAAACCCCTCCTCCTCTCACCCTATTTCAATCAGTACAGGTGCTTAGCTGCCTTCGAAATTGAATTCCATGAATTTTCTAACATGGAAAATTCAATTTAATTCGCACCTTTTACACAAATAATGTATGTTTTGAAACTACAAAACGAAGGTTTTCAGTGATGCTTCAATGGCAGCCTCAACATCCAATTCTTGACAAAGACCCCGAAACCTCTTCTCATACTGAATTCCTTTCCTTCGTACAAAAAAAAACGTAGAATCTGTTAAATTTTTTTCCCAAATCAAAGGATTATTGGGCCAATTTTATCTCTCTATAAGAGATTAATTATGTGCACATGGATCAAAATACCCTTACTATGCTTCAATTATCAAAACAAAGTTTCCATAACCAAGGTTGATAAATTTAGTATTCGGAGGAACCATCTTTTTTTATTGAATGTAATTACAATTAAAAATTTCAATTATAATCAAATAATTTAAAAAATCACATATTTCATACGTTTATAAAAAAATATTAAATTATTAAATAAATAAATTAACATAAAATAAACTAAATTCAAATACAATAAAACTTAAATTTGAAACTTTAAGATTTTAAAAACTCATTCTTTCTATTTTTCTTCTTCGAAATGACTGACTATTTTTCCACATATGATATTTCAATTATGTCTAATTATTCTTCTTTAGGTCCAGTGAAAAAGGTAAAAATTTTAACCAATGTTCTTAAAGGAAAGTGATTTGGTTTATTTAGTCGTCGATGTGCACGCCAAATTGGACCAAGTTTGTGCATATTCCACACAACAGAAAACCCACCCCACTAAATTAATTTTTTAAAGTCATTATTGACTAATTTGTCACTAAGTATAATGCATTTTTTTGATGTGCAACTTCCTCTTGACCGCCTCTGCCGAAAGGTAGATGCCAAAAGCCACCCCGGCCCCAAGGCCATCTTTTGCTCGGAAAACATACATGCATGATTGTTACAAGAACCAATTTAACATAATTATTATTTGATCCTACCAAAATTTTAAAAAAAAATCATATCATTACATGTAAATTGTCTGATGTGTTTTTCTCTGTAGGTTGTGGTATAATTACCAGTTAAATCGGTTAGCAAACAGAATATTTTTAATGGAGTAAACAAGTAGAAAGTGGCAAATAGTAGTAATCCCACAGCAACTACTCCCAACACCCTTGGTTAAGTTAGAATTAGCAAACAAAAAAAAACTTCCAGGAGATATTCTCTGCCTTCTGTTCCCTTCTGCATATCTTTCTTTCATTTTTTCACCCTTTGGCTTGATATTCCAAAAAGCATCTTTGATTTCGTTCATTTTTCTCCTTTCCAGAAATTGTTCAACTCCCCCTTTAAAACCAAAGCCTAACTATGGGTAACATCTTCTCGATCTCAGCTTCATGCGACACTGTCATTACCCGCTGCTGTGATTGTGTTGCCGGACAAGCACAGTTTGTATGCAAGCTTGAAGAAAACGTAGAAGCTTTAAAAATTGCATTAGCAGAATTGACGGATCTAAGGAATGATGTGATCAGAAGAGTGAAAATAGCTGAAGATCAACAACAGCTGAAGCGGCTAGACCAAGTTCAAGGCTGGCTTTCGAGGGCAGAAACTTTGATTAATGGAGCTCATTTGTTGATTGAGCAAAGTCCTCAGGAAATTAAGAAATTATGTGTAGGAGGTTGTTTTTCTATGAGTCCCAAGTCCAACCTGAAGTTTGGGAAGCAAATTACCAAAATGCTTCGAGATGTTGTAGATCATAAGAGCAAAGGAGTTTTTGACAAGGTGGCTGAGGAGGAACCAACGCCTCTAGTAACTGAACGACCTACTGAGCATACTGTTGGTTTGGAATCCACATTCGATAAGGCTTGGAGTATCCTTGAAGCTGAACAAGTGGGAATTGTTGGCCTGTATGGCATGGGAGGGGTTGGCAAGACAACCCTCCTGAACAAAATCAACAACAAGTTCTGTGAACCCCCAAATCGATTTCATGTAGTTATTTGGATTGTAGTATCTAAAGGGTTTTATATCGGAAAGATCCAAGATGACATTGCTAAAAGGGTGGGAATAGCTGATGGAACATGGCAGGACAAAACTCCAGAGGAAAAAGCTCTAAACATCTTTAGGGTTTTAAAGGAAAAGAAATTTGTCTTATTGTTAGATGATATATGGGAGCGAGTCGATCTATCTAAGGTTGGGATACCTCTCCCAACTCAAAAAAATGGTTCCAAACTAGTTTTTACAACTCGTTCTATCAAGGTTTGTGGCCAAATGGAAGCTCAAAAGAAGATTGAAGTGCGGTGTTTGCCTGAAGAAAAAGCTTGGGAATTATTTCAAGAAAAAGTTGGTGAAGAAACACTTGATAGTAATCCATGTATTCGTGAGTTGGCTCATGAATTGGCCAAAGAATGTGGAGGCCTACCTCTCGCACTTGTCACCATTGCTCGTGCCATGGCTTGTAAGAACAAAGTTGAAGAATGGAAAGATGCAATTGAAGTGTGTCGGAGATCATCTGCCTCTGTTTTTCCAGAAATGGGTGAAGAGGTATATCCACTTCTAAAATTCAGTTTTGATTCTCTTCCCAATGACATGTTTCGAACTTGCCTCTTGTACTGTAGTTTGTTCTCAGAGGACTACCCAATTGATAAAGAAAAGCTTATAGATTTCTGGATAGGAGAGGGGTTTTTGGATGGACATGGGAATACAAGTCTAGCTCGAAACCAAGGCCACCAAATGATTGGTTCTCTTCTTCATGCATGTTTATTGGAAGAAATAAATGAATTTCGCATAAAGATGCATGATGTGATTCGTGACATGAGTTTGTGGATAGCATGTGAATGTGAAGAAGAAAAGTGGAGGTTTTTTGTGCAGGCAGGTTATCAATTAACTAAGTTACCAGAAGTTCAGAATTGGGGAAGTATACGCAGGATGTCATTGATGAAGAACAGGATTGAAAATCTAGTAGAAGCACCTAACTGTCGTGATCTCCAAACTCTGTTTCTTAACGGTAATCAGTTGAAGGTGATCAATAATGACTTCTTCCAATTTATGTGTGGCTTAAAAGTTCTAAACTTGTCAGGCAATAGAGGTATAGAAGAATTGCCAGTGGGAATTTCGAAATTGGTGTCTCTGGAATGTCTCGATCTCTCCTATACAGGGATAAGACAGCTACCAATTGAATTGAAGGCTTTAGAAAAGCTTAAATGCCTGAACTTGGAATACTCTGAGTCTACCATAAGAATTCCAAGACAGTTGATATCTACTTTTTCAAAGTTGCAAGTATTGAGAATGTTTCGCTGTTATTCTTTGGGCCAGGAAGTGGAAGATAATAGTGAATGTTTGGTGGAAGAATTGAAGTGCTTGAACCATTTGAATGTGTTGACTGTCAATACAACAAGTGCTTTGGGTCTCGATAGCCTTTTGCGTACTGAAAGGTTATGCAGCTGCACTTTAGCTATTCAGCTTCTACTGGTAAAGGACTCGAAGCGATTGAATATTTTATCTTTAGCGAATATGAAGAGTCTAGAATTTCTAGACCTTGGGAAGTCTGAAAGTTTGGAAGAAGTGGAGATGGAGTGGGGAGGGTTGGGCAGAATGATAAAAGCACAGAGCCACATTGAAACCTCTGTGATTGCAAGCAAACATTGCTTCCAAAGCCTTCGCGAAGTATTTATATACGAATGTTCAAAATTGAAGGACATAACATGGCTAATTCTCGCTCCAAACCTGAGGCAGTTTAATGTAGTGGACTGCAACAATATGGAAGAAATAATCAATAAGAGAAAACTGAGTCAAGTGGCTGAGCTAGTAGAAACTTTAACCCTATTTGGAAAACTCGAGTCTCTTTTCTTACAGTATTTGCCAGAGTTGAAGAGCATTTACTGGGATACACTTCCCTTCTCATGTTTGAAAGAAATTTATGTTCATCGGTGCCCAAAGCTGAAAAGACTTCCACTCAACTCCAACAGTGCAAAGGAAAACAAAATCAGCATTAGGGGAGAGAAAGAATGGTGGAAAGAGCTTCAATGGGAGGATGAATGTGCTCTAAACGATTTTCTTCCCTGCTTTACTGGGATACACTTCCCTTCTCATGTTTGAAAGAAATTTATGTTCATCGGTGCCCAAAGCTGAAAAGACTTCCACTCGACTCCAACAGTGCAAAGGAAAACAAAATCAGCATTAGAGGAGAGAAAAAATGGTGGAAAGAGCTTCAATGGGAGGATGAATGTGCTCTAAACGATTTTCTTCTATTTACTGAAGTTGCAGAGTAAACATATTACTTTTACCTTTAGTCTCTGTTATAATTGTTGTGTTTGAAGCTGTTGCGGTGTGTTCTAAAGTCGTGGATGATCTTCTCATTTGTATGATGTTCATTAAATTGACTAAGTTAATGGTGAATCTTTTGCTTATATGGATTTAAATATAGGCTGCATTTTAATGCTGAGTAAATAATTTTAGCTTCAACCTAAATATCTCAATTTGTGTGATTTTATTTATGGTCAGCTAACATGTTATGCTATCAACTTTTTCTTGATTTAAACACGTGCAGTAACTATTTATATTCTTCTCGTCTTTTTTTAATTATAAATTATTATCTTTTATAAATGATTTTAATAGTCTAAAATTTTAATAGTGTTAAAAATGATTGACTTAAATACTTTTATAAATCTTTAAATTAACAAATTTATTTTTAAATATATAATTTTTATTAATTTATTTAAATTTAATTTAAATCAACTAAAATTAAAAATAGATTTTTTGTGAAATTAAACTGCTTAAAATTATGAAATTTTAATTCCAAAAGGATTAAAAATGATTCACTAAAATATTCTTAGTAAATTTTTTTATAACTTTTAATTTAAATTAATTTTTTTTTATTATTAAATTTTTTATAATTACGCTAAAAAAGTATTAAAAGTGATTGATTAAAATATCCTTATTAAATTTTTAATTCCTACAATGTTAAAAATGATTGATTAAAGTACCATAATAAGTTTTTTATAAATTTTAATTTAAATGAAGTTTCTTTTCATTATTAGACTCCCAAATCATTAAAGCATATTTGTTTTATTTCTATTTTTTTTCCTTTCAAGTTTTTATTTTAATTGATTTACTAGCTATATATGTATGTTAATAATTTTATTATTTGTATATTTTATGAGTTGATAATTTATATAATTAAATCTTTTTAGTCGCTTGAAATAATTCAAAAAAGAAATTAATTAAATCTTTTTTATTTCATTATAATTTTTAAAATTATGTATTGTGATATTTTTATATAATCAAAATTTATGTATAATAAAATTTTTAAATAAAAGAAAATTTATGTTTTTAATTGGTAGAATGTAGAATTACATTTAATTGATGGAAGCAACAATAAAAGATTTTCCAAAGAAAAAAAATGAGAGAAAAAATTGACTGATTATACATAGTTCTATCTTATTCATATCAATAAGGTTAGTGCTATATGATATTTCAATGAAAAATATATAATTTTAATGATTTCAAATTCTTTTAGGATCAATTATAAAATTCTTTTTAGGAAAAATTGTATAGCTTTCATTTTTCTTTCATTATATAAGTTAAAGGAATGTTCATGATTATATAAAAATTTTTAAGGTTACTATGTTGGGTAATATTTATTCAAAAGTATTGAAATTCATCAAATTAATTATCACTATTATATTTAATATAAAAATATTATTATACATTATAATTTAACTAAACTTAAATGTGATTTAAAAGCATTAATGAAGAAAATTCTTTCGATAAATTTTTATTTAATTATGTATCTAGTATTTCAATTATTTTGAATTTTGACTACTCATAATTTCAAGTTGGGTTTTAATTTTAGAATCAATATCAATTAGGTTGAGTTAAGTTTTATTTGCTTCTATTTATTGTATACTTAATTATTCACTTATCACTTGAATAAATTTGACATAATAATTGATGCAAACTTTTCGTTCTTTAAAAAGCCGGATTTAAAATCATCTTAAATTCAAATAAAATAAAAATATTGGATTTTGATTGTATTGCTATGTCAATTCAAAATTTGGGTTCAGTGATTTCATATTTTAAATAACCACTATGGTTTTGATTGTTTAAAATCAATTGAATCAAGTGAAATTTGTTTATTTTTATAATTATGTGTATTATATTATTTTTAATTATAGTAAAATTCAAAAAGCGTAAAAATTTTATGTATACTCAATATGAGTCTTGAATTATTTCAAGTTTGAGTTAATTAATTCATATTATTTTTAATTATACTTTTATGACATTGGTATTAAATTTCAAAATAGAATGAAAAAAAAAATTTAAGTGCAAAAGTTATGGAAATATTAATGATAATTCTAGAAGAAAATTCATATACCCAAATTGTGCAAAGATTAAATGATATATCTTCTTTTAAGGATTTTGAAATTCTTATGCCCAAGTCTTGCTAATCAAGTTGCTGTGATATAGATTGAAGGAAACAACTTAAACATTTCATTTGAAGTAGATATTATAGTTCAAACTTATTTAGGAAGATAACATACAGTTATATATTATTTGGGTCGTTATGACCCCTTATAATCTTTATTCTTTTCAAATGAAAAAGTTGGTTGACATCAAAATATAAAAAAAAAAAAATGCATTTTGAATGATAGTAATAAAAATGAAATAACAATTAGAAATATACTATCTTTTCATTTAATAAAAGAAATTTTTGAAAGAGAATGTGAAAGTAATTATTATAAACTTAATTTTTTAAAAATTATTGTCTATTTATTTTTTATAAATTTTATTTAGTAAATTTTTTCTCATTGCTTTTGCATAATTAAATTTTACCTAAAATTATATACTTAAAGATGGAAACATAAGGTAAAGTTTATTATTTTCATTGTTGGCATAATACTTCAATTTTTTCAATCTTTTATAAGAAATTGTACTTCGCTAACAAGTATAAAAATATATAACAAATCATTCAATCAAATTATTAACAAAATTTATCTTAATATGTACTATTTTACAATGAATTAAAAAATTTAAAGAATATTTTAAAAATATTAACTTAATATATATTATACATTAATTTAACTTTGCTTTGATACTTACATTAGTATAAAAAGTTAGGATTTTAACTTATTATTATATGCTAAACTACAAATAGCAAATTAAGAGCATTTACTTTTTGTTTTTCAAGTCATCTACGTTTAAACATTTTCTTACTTCTTTCTCTATCTTATAAATTACATCATTTAGCATTCATTACGGTTGCTTTCTTTTTGAATATATGCAAATTAATGACAACATAATAGTATATGATTGCTAATTTAGTAATTAATCAATGAAAGCTAAAAGTAATCAGTATAACTTAATAGTAATTATTGATAACTTAATAATTAACCAATAATAACTTAATAGTAAATCATGCATAAATCAATATATGAATAATAATTTAATAGTCAATAATTGATAACTTAGTAATAAATCAATAATAATATAATAGTAAATGCATAATAATTTAGTAATAAATTAATTGTAATATAATTGTAAATGAATAACAAGAGAGTAGTAAATCAAGAATAATTTAATGAAAAATAAGTGACAACTTAATAGTTAACCATTGATAACTTAATAATAAATTAATAATAACTTAATAGTAAATTAGTGATAATTTAATAATAAATCAATTTTATTTTAATAGTAATTAATTAATAGTAGTGAATTATAAATAACTTTTTTTATATTGTGAATAATAACTTAATATTAAATAATTGATAATTTAATAGTTACTCATTACGTTAAAAGTAAATCAATATAATTTAATAGTAAATCATCAATAACTTAATTGTTAATCAATGATAAATTAATAGTAAATTTGGATAATGTAATATAAATTAATGATAACTTGGTAATGAATCATGGATAATTTAATACTAAATTAATAATAATTTGTAGTATATAATCGAAAATTAAATTGTAAATCAATTATGACATAATAGTAAATATATAATAATATAATAATAAATCATTGATAATTTAGTAGTAAATCGTCAATAACGTAATAATAAATTATTAATAACTTAACTACAAATGAGTAATAATATAGCAGTAAATTAGTTAATCATTGATAATTTTATAATAAATCATTCATAAATTAATAATAAATAAGTTATAACTTTATAATAAATTATCAATAACTTAGCGATAAATAATTCATAATTTAAGGATAAATCATTTATAAATATGTAATAAATTATTGATAATTTAGTATTAAATTATTGGTAGCTTAGTAATAAATGATTAATAACATAATAGTAAATAAAATAATAATTTAATTATTAATCATTGATTTTTTATTATTAGGGGATTGAACCTGGTTCATGGCGGAAACAAATAAAAAACTTTCATCTTTAGGGGCTAGAATAAACCTATCACAAATCTATTCAATAAAAATTTAGTAAAAAATTTAAATTTGAATAAATAATAATATTATCGTATAAAATAAAATTATCTTATATATTGTCAGTAACTTTTTAAATTCCATATTTCATTAATTGTAAATATATAGTAGCATATTAATAAATCAAGGATATGTTAATAAAAAATAAATAGTAACTTAGTAGTTAATCATATACATCTTAACAATAAATCAATGCTAACTTAAAAATAAATCAATTTTGCTTTAATAGTAATTAATTGATAAAAGGTTAATGTTATAAATGGCTCTTAAACTATAGTGAAATATATAATGTGATACCTGAACTATAAAATTATTAACTAATGCAGTACTTGAAAAGTTGCTTGTATGCCATGTATCATCATTTGAAACTAATTATGTTAGGGATAAGTACCATATTAATTAACAAATTCATAGTTTAAGTATCACATTAAAGATTTTTAAAATTTAAATACCACATTGAACATTTCACTATAATTCAAGAGTCATTTGTAACATTATCCCAATGATAAATTTAGTATTAAATCATAAATAACTTAATAGTATCAATAATAATTAAGTAGTTAATTATTAAAAACTTGAAAGTAAATCAATATAACTTGTAGTAAATTATCGATAACTTAATTTTTTTTTTTGAATAATCTATAACTTAATAATTAACCACTAGTAATATTATAGTAAATCATGGATAATTTAATATAAATAAGTGATAACTTGATGGTGAATCATGATTAATTTAATAATAAATTATAATAATTTCATAGTAAATAATCGAAAACTACGTATTAAATCAATGATAACATGTAATAAATGCATAATAGTATAATAGTAAATCATTGGGGATTTAGTAATAAATCAGTAATAAAATAGTTATAAATTAGTGATAATTTAGTTGTAAATTAGAGATAATTTAGCAATAAATTAGTTAACAATTGATAAGTTTGTAATAAATAATCTGTAACTTAGTAAGAAATCAGTTATAACTTTATAATAAATTTCTAGTAATTTAGTGATAAATTATCAATAATTTAATGTTAAATCATTTAT